CGAAAATATTGTTTTTTTTTAATTCGTACTCTAATCGGAATACAAACTGACAAAATACTTAAAAATGCACGATGCAGATTACTGTTTATTCCCTATATTAACTATAAATTAGATGTACTTTTAAGTAGATAATGTTTCTAAACTGCCTGATTTATTCTGAAGCAAATTACGCTAAGGGTAATATAAATTGCACGGAAAATATAAAAAATATTTATAAATTGATTTTAAAAATTCGTGTTTTGTAGGAGATTTAATCAAGTGATATAAACAGGAAATTAAATTTCAATTTATATGCATTAAGATAATTCAAAGGTTGAAATCATTTTTTTATTTTCAGTTTCAATCATGGAAAATCATAATCTAGGTCAATGATGTTTTTGCATAATGAAAAAAAAAAATATTTGAAGCCTGACTTCTAACCCCATCGGTATTTATTATTCAATTCCTGTTTGAGAATTAATATTAAAGTACAAATGATTGAAATTGATGTTTGTTTATTTTTTTAATTTTTTATTTATTTATTTATTTATTTATTTTTTTGCGGACTTGAGTAGCAAAATACCTCCTTTTTCTTAATTGTCTTTTCAGAAGGAAAATGGTTAAATAGTTGAATGGTTACTAAATATAATGAAGAGCAGCTGCTATTGAAAGATGATTTTAACAAGACTTAGCTTGTTGAATGAGGATTAACGAAATATATTCATGTTCTTTTACATTAAAAATCATCAATTTGAGTATCAAAATAATTTCAATTTTAAACTAAAAAGAAAATATGTATCACTACATGCAATAATGAACTAAGGTTTGAAATTGAAATATCATGTTACTAGTAAAAGAGAAAATGAAAAATGTAAAGATAACGAACAGTGGCCGATCTGAGATAAAAATATAAACAATGCAAATCTGTGAACAGGGCGTAAAATACGGATCCCGGCAGTTTCAGGGTGAGATTAGGTGCCTAGGAGGAGTATGCATCCCCTGTCGACTGGTCACATCCCCCGTGAGAGCGCCCCTCCCCCCAAATCCCGTGATAAAAGAATAAAAAAAAGTATTCAAATCTTTACTTTTTAAAGCAATCAACACCTTTCAACGGTTTTAATTAATTCACTATCAATATATCTTTACTTTTTAAAGCAATCAACACCTTTCAACGGTTTTAATTAATTCACTATCAATATGTACTACTTTAAACAAAGATTTAATTTGTCTTATTAGAAAATTTGTGTAAATATGTAAAGTTTGTAGGCTGAATTGCACATGTTCTCAATTGATTCATTCTTTAAAATCTGTTCAAGACATAGTTTAAAATAAAATGAAAAGTACATCACAATTACATGTAGAAATGTGATTAATTAACCAGGCCAATTGATCAGCAAGATTTAGAGGATTGTTTGGTAGTATTAAATTTTACCAACGCTGCAATATGATAATGCAGCATTCAAACTTTTTTTTTTAAATTGCGTGACTTTGCTATGAATATGTTATATGGATCTTTAACCAGTATGAAAATACCATTCAAAGCAGTTGCTACATTATCAAATTATTATTTGAATTCCTTCTTTTTGGGTTGCTGCAATATCATTGTCGTATGAAGATCAATAACTGAAATAAATGATTAATGTGAAGTAAAATCAATAAATTTTTTTTCAACAATTTAAATATTCTTTTCCCCTAAATTTCACTTCAATTTAAGAAAAGAAAAAAAAATGCTGATCAATAGCAAGATAAACAAACTGTGAAACGTGATATGTTTCGTATAGTATTTTTTTTTCACATAGGTTTATTATTTTTTTTTTCATTTAAACTATAATTCAAATGAAAACCTGCCTCTTTAAAACGTCATCTGGAATAAAGATAAATTGAAAAACCTGTCAACGACTTACATGTGTTCAACTTCTAACAGTTATGTACAACTACTGACATGTATAGTCGTCCGCGTGTGACACAGTGGTTAGAGCGTTTGCTCAAAGGTCACGGCGTAAGGAGTTGATACTTACGTCACGGGTTCGAATCCACTGTTCGACGTGGGATCTGAACCGGTCCTTCGGATGAGACCGTATAAACCCAGGTCCCTTGTCGTAGCAGTGATAGCACGGAAAAGATCCCTGACTGCTCAAAGGCTGTAAGTGCCGACTACGTGTCTAAATTTGCAGCCCTCCAGAAGTGAAAATATGAGTGAAAAATTCTCGAAGGGGCGTTAAACAACCAACCAAAAAAAAAAAAAAAAAAAAAAAACAAAAAAACAAAAAAAAAAACAACTAACAATTATATAAAAAAGTTCTTAGATAAAGATTAGCAGTATTTCAAAAGTGTTAAAAGGGCACACTTTGATAATATTCTACCTAAGCATATCATTGCTTAAGATTGCATCTTTGACACTAATGATAAAATTTTTTTTTCTAAATGACCATGTACTACTTGTATCAAAATAGTTTAAGCAACAAAAAAGGTATATCATTAAACAAAAGATGTTCAAGTAGTCTATAATGTAACATTTTTTAAAAAAATATAGCTCTGGTATTGTAGGAAATGATTAGGCGAAGGTGCGAAATAAAATAATCATTGAGCTCTCCCATGTCTTACTTTAAGTTTTATCCTCTTCATTACTATGTAGCTTCAAAATACAACTTTTCAACTTACACAAAAATTAAACAGGATCTTCCTTTGTCCTTTGGTATTATTTTTTCTACTCCTCAGAAACTTTTAGTTTTTTTTCTTGAAGTCCTTTATCGAATCTAGCGCCTTTAAAATTTCGCTGTCATCCAATTCACATTCGACTGAAGTGTAAAAATCTTTTATTGTTACAATGTCACTATCCTATGATTGATTGATTGTATGTTGTTTTACGTCCCTTCGAGAATTTTTCACTCACATAGAGACGTCACCATATACCGGTGAAGGGCTTCAAATTAAGGCCTTTACTCGGCACCCAGGGCCATTGAGCAGTGAGGGATTTTTATCGTGCCAACGCCTGCCGTGACACGGGGCCTCGGTTTTTAAGGTCTCATCCGAAGGACCCGCAACTTTCACTTCAAAGTGCCGAGCGCATGGCGAAGGAACAGTTGCTACCCATTTTTATCGACTTAGGTCAGTCGCGGCAGAGATTTGAACTCACGACCTCCCAATCACGGAGCGAGCGCTCTACCGACTGAGCTAGTCACTATCCTAGGAAATGTTACAAGCAAACAATTTTCAAAGTTCTGAGAAGAGGGTATAGTATTTTTAGTGACTGTAATGTATAGTCTGAAATAAATATTATTTGCTTATTTTTAACTTGATCTTTACCAAAAAGAAGGAAGAACAATTTTTTTTCTCATTCTTTTTGTGTTTGTGTAATAAATATATGAATAAAACATTCAAATGCTTGTCAGCTATGATTCGGAACGAAAATCTACCCAAAACATTCTTATTGCTAGCTATAAAAGAAATTCTTTTCAATGAAACTCCAGCTCTATTCTGTAGCATTTCCCCCTTTTTACTATTCTGTATATAGAAAATATATAAGTAAACAGTTCATACAGTATAAATATGTCCTGCTTCCCATTTGCTTTCCATTACAATCATGCACTGTACATTCATTTTGAAGTTTAATCCTATATTACAAAACTTTTTTCGTTTGCAATCATCGGTGAAAGTTATCTTCATTTTAATAGAAAAAAATTTAATGCTCTTTTATTCAAGAAGCCTTCATTGAATTGCTGATGAAATGTTTAAGTATAATCAATTAGAATAAAGTTATATATACTATATAATTAATTAATTATGACCCCTTCTCCTCTGACGATAGGGTATGTTTCGAATGTGTGTGTGTGTGTGTGTGTGTGGACGTAAGTGACTCGTCTTTGACACTACAAAATAGAATGGGTATACCCACACAAACTTCCCTGATTTTGTTTACATTTCTTTATAAAAATAACTCAGGATATCAAATATTGACGACATAATTCAATCGTAAAATGTTTCCTTTTCAAGTTCAATTTATTTTCTCACACCACTTAGTGGTACACAACGTTCTATGTACAGTATATACAAAGAAAGATAATATTCAAGATACATATAAATGGCAGAAATAAATATGAGTTCAAAAGTAATTATGGGACACAGACTTGATCATATACTTTAGAATGTAACTGCACAATTTCAGTAACACACTAGAGTCAGCAGTTGACAATAATTCTGAGCATTTGTAAAAAAAAAATTGGTCTATAAAAATATTTTTAGGAAAATACTCTTTCTAGCATTCTGAAAAAAATTGATATTCTAGAATATAGTGATTCTCGTCTGCTGATTGTCCCTTATTACAGATATGTCAAGGTCTATCATTTGGAGAAATTTCCTGTCTCAACTGGGAGACGTTGAATTTTGTTCCAAATTTGATTAAAATTGTTCTAATTTTTCTAAGTGGTATATTTAAATATTTTCAAATCCAAATTCTGTTCTGAAGATACAATGTATCTGAGCTTTGGACGAATCCCTCATATCGCTTTGTCATCTGTATGTACTGATCTTTAAGACCTTGTTCAACTATAGTACTGTTTTTAACCTTTTAATATTTACAAAAGCATGTTCATTCCACTGAGTAGCTAGAAAAATCAAGCAATTTATTAATACATGAAATCCAAGGGGTCACATGATTTCCTATACGAATCTGCTCAACAAATGTTTATTTATAACACATACAATCTTATTTTCAGAACTTATCAGTAATTTTTACCAATGGGATATCATTTTAAATACATTATTATATATTTATTGTATTATGTTCAATGTTCGACAGATGCATGAAAAAATAAGACTATCAACAAGATATATTGCACTCATTTGTTAAATCACAAGAATTATTTCCCGAAAAAAAAAACACAAAAAAAAACCACACACAAACATCCATATCCCAAAGCACATTCACAACCACTATTTATGGATGAAAAACTTGTTCAATGAATTAATGATACAAAAAGTTGATAAATGAAAGAAGACTAAAAATAGCAATCTGGTCTAATTGTCCAGGATTGTCCTGTTTTTACTTACCTTTTTACTTTACTTTGGAACCACAGTCAGCTTGATCAGCCGTTATCATTGAAAAAACATTAACACAAATACATTGGCTTTAAAATATATGTACTCTTATAGGTACACTGAAAGTATTTTAATACTTAATGTTTGTCTGTTAATAGTTAAATTTAGGCAGTTTCCGGAAGACATTTACATATATGTAGTATGTAGGTCGTGAACAGTTGCTACATACCCATGTCCGCTGAAAAAAACTGCTTTTTTCTGTCTTTTAAACCAATCTGTTATTCTACTATGACATTTCAAAGGTTTGTCAGTAATCGTGAAACATTGTCCTCCAGCAAAACTTCTTGAGATTATCGACAACAGCTGCTTATGTACAAAGATCCTGATTCAAAGGCTCGATGATCTACCAGAAGACATAAAGGTTTCGCTTTCGTTTTTGGTCTCTCGTCGACTGGAAGCATTTTTGGCTTGTGTGGTGAGAAGTCTCGCTGTTCGGGTTGACATTTTTCTGGTAAATGCACAATGGGAATCATCGGACTCACAAGGCTGCAAATTTAAATTTATCTTGATAAGAAATTCGTTGAAGAATAGTAGTTTTCGTTTTTTACAACAGTTTAATAAATATTTGATGACATACCTCAGACATAGTAGACAAAGACCGATTTGAAGTGGAGGAATCTGAAATTACAAGGAAAATTCAATTATTCATTTTTTTATGCTTTTATCAGAAGTATCCTCTTCCTCCTCACCGTTATTATCATCATTGTTACCTGGTCTGGATAATCTTTCGTCCATATTGATACCACTGTCAGTTTGTGAAGATGGGTGAGGGACAACTGAAAAAACCCCAAAGATATTGTGTAAAATAGGAGAGGAGATCTAAATCAAATCTTTTGATTTGTTTATGAATGACATTGATAATGCATGGATAGTATAATCAAAGAGGGTTTATACCTTGACGATTTCTTTTGGTGACCATTTCTGTGAAATCTATCTGTAAGAAGGAAAAGAACTGATCACTTATTTATATCATAACGATGTACATGTACATAAAACTAACATCGTATTCATTGCATATTACTTATACCTTGTCGAGCGATCCCTCTTCCTGGATTGGCGTGGAGGATTTTCCACCTGTATAAAATCAGAGATTTTAATCATCTGCCCTCTACACCGTATTATTTGATGAAATGCAATGTAATAAAGTCAAAAACTTTCTTCACAATTATTTTATAAATGTAAATGAAATTGATAAAACATTGAACATAATGAAGCTGAAAAATATTTACCTGGTAACAAACTTTGTTTGTGTATTTCACTCAATTTCTGCAAGTTTAATTTAAATTTTTCCGCTTCCAGTATCAGACCTGCAAGTTTTTCGATTAATTTGCTCAAACTAGCACTCTCAAGTTCTTCTTCTTCTTCCACTTCGTGATCATTTTCCCGCTTTTCAATCAAATTCAACAGATGTGCATTAAGTAATGAAATTTTGTGCTTTGTTTTAAGAATGTCTTTATCCAGTTCCTTCGGTGTTGGGATCTGTGACATAATGATATTTTCTAGTTGAACGAGATATCATAACTCAGCAAAACATTCCTAACCTCACAAACGACCGTCTTAAATGATAACGGTTATAGAAATGAAAATAAGTATATACTACATTCCTTTACAGCAAGGCTATATAAATAGAAAACAAACGTCAATGGGAAAACCCTATTTAAAAGGAGGAAGCATTTGATTTCTAAAATGCGTTAACTATAAAAAATATTTTGAAGTGTGATTTTGAGTATTAGTTCTTACATAGTGCAATTTAATATTTAATACTCATATATGGTACAACACTATAAATATTAGATGTTCATATATGGTATAACTATATTAAAAAAAAATTATGCTCTTAAGTAGTTTATCAATATAAATATTTAATGTTTTTCCGGTATAACAATATGTTCTTTTTAATTTTTTATCCAAAAGTTTTCATAGAATAAATTTATTGCTATTTTTATATATCAAAGTAAGATTTTAAATACCTTCTAAACAAAATTAATGTATATGCACAATGGTTTAAGCATTAAAGATATACCAACACATACATATAATGTGATTTTGTTGTACAGATACAAGCACTGATCATGGAATGTTGTTTACTGAATGTTTTGATCTGTATCTATTGATTGATTGTACGTTGTTTTACTTCCCGTTCGAGAACTTTTCAAACATATAGAGACGTTACCCTATACCGGTGAAGGGCTTCAAATTTAGACCTTTACTAGGCACTCAGGCCCATTGAGCAGTGAGGGTTCTTTATCGTGCGAACACCTACCGTGACACGGGGCCTCTGCCGAGCCATTGGGGAAGGAACAGTTGCTACCTATTTTTTATCGACTTAGGTCAGTCGCGGCCGTGATTCGACCACACGACCTTCCGATCACGGAGCGAGCGTTCTACCGACTGAGCTACCGTGACGGCTGTATCTATTGAAGAAAAATTAGATGTCGAATAAGTGGAATAGGATTAATTAAGGTTTAAATGCGATTAGAATTTGCTGCTACCCAAATCTTCTTAATAATACTCTATGCACCTTAATGTCATTCAGGTCATGGCAGAGATAAATACTTTTCAAGATTCTTCGCCGTCTCACAGAGTCCTATGGCTACATGTAACTCAAGCCAAATCATCTATTATTTTTTGATTTAAAATTGCTCAAAAATTGTACTTCTACAACTTTCTTTTCACAATGTCCACAGATATGATCTGGATTATGCTTTATGACGTTATAGTTAAAAGATATAAATTGTACTCATGCTTCTACAATTATAACGTCTCTCAGATTTGTTAACCTTGAATTCAAAAAGTAAGATGTTGAAATAGGGAAGGATAGTTACTCTCTCTCTCTCTCTCTCTCTCTCTCTCTCTATATATATATATATATATAAACAAATAAAAACAACCCCGAGTTAATTATAAAACTGTTTGTCATCTACAAAGACTTGAACTTAATATATAAACATATTAAATTGAAGTACTTGTGATAATCAATTCTATAATTGATTAAGAGGTTGTTTGTGTATTGGGTTTTTTTTTAAAAATTCAAATGAATTAATTTCCTCATTTTTATATTTATCCCATGGGACAATTTTTAACTACATTTTCTTTATAAAAAATACTTATATTTCATGTAAGTGTATGAAATATCAATAGACGAAAAAAAATTAAATGCATATGATTTTAAAGCATTTTCAGATAACGGTGTAATTTGGAAGATAACATTTGCGTTTTACCAAACAGCTGAAAGAATGAAATGAGTAATCATTCTCAAAAGTCCAAGGAAACAATAACAAACAATTGTTAACAAACAATTGTTAGCAGAGCAAACACGGACCTCTGAAAATATCAGGGTCGAATCATGGAAGAGCATTCCCTGTCATCCGTAAATAAATCTGATTGATTTCATATACGCTTCATAACTTAATACAATCCATGAAAACTGGGTAATCTATATATTACGAAAAAAAGTTTGTCTTGAAAGTTAAAAAATCAAATTATTAAGATTCTAATCCGACATAACCCGGAATATAAATTCAGCAAATAAATTCATTCGACGCGTATCAAAGGACAGTGCCAACGTGACTTTTGAGGGGATGGAATTTTGATAACAGCTTGCTATTTTTTATGGCATTGTTATTTAGTTACCTGTATTGTGGTCTATGCAAACAAAACGATATTAGTATTAACCCTTACTTACTCTTCTCCTTTTCTAGCACGAAGAAAAATGTGTCATACATACTAATGTTGTCAAAAACTCGATACCTTGCATGTCTTATATTTTTAATGAGATTGTTTGTCTCCTGAATTTGTTTAAGTTTGCATGATATCTTCTGAGGACTAGTAAGTTTTTATTTACTATGGTGTGTCAAGGACCACAATGCTTACCAGGAAATATGAATTTCAAGTTGACTGTGGTCAAATCGGGATTATCTAAAATGTCAATTTGTACTTTTAGAAATTTAAATTTTTTTTTTTTTTAATAATGATTTCGATATACTTTACAGATCTTCACATAATGCTTAATAGGAATTCATTATTTTCTCTTATTGCAGCAGTGTTACAATTGAAAACAAGAAATTTACATCTTTTAAATGTACATTAATCTGAGGTTGATTCTAACTGAACCGAAACCGAAAGACACTTTAGGTGCAAGATTATAATTCTTATGATTGATTGATTGATTGATTGTAAATGTAGTTTTAAGTTCCTTGCAAGATAATTTCACTCATTTGAGACTTGACCAGACACCTGCGAAGTGCTTTAATTTTTTGTCTTTCCTCGACACTAAGGTCCATTAAGTAGTGAGGGTTCGTTCAGGTACCAAGGTCTGCTTTGACACGGGACCTTGCATGATTTTTAAGGTCTTATCGGAAAGACACGTAATTTTCACTTCAAAAAGTTGAGTGCTTGGCAAAGGAACAGTAACTATCTATTTCTTTTTTTAACGATTTAGGTTTATCGCATCCGAGCTCAGGATCTCCTGACTATGAAGCATGCGCTCTATTGATTAAGCTACCATGACACTCTAATTGTTGTGCTTCAGGGATGCATTTTTTAATTAACAATTTGTGATTCTTAGAAATTATTTTGAAAGTAAGAATAAGACCTAATCTTAAAAAAGGGTCCTGAAGTAATTGCATGTAGATTACATACACATGTATATAAAAAGTCTTTAAAGTCTGATGTTGTAAATGAACAAATACAAAGCTTGAGATCAATGACATCTGGCCAATAAGTTTTGTACATATCCTTAAACTTCCATTTATACTTTGGTATAATTCAACCAAAAACATCAATCTTTATTTTTTAATATAAACTATAATCTAAAACATCCGTTATGAACATGTTCTTTTTCAAAAAGAATAAAATAAACAGAAATAAATGCTCTCTTATTTTAGAATGCAGATGAGCTAAAACGAATTCAGCGTAAAATGCATTGTTTATGCAGGCATGGCATTGTTAATTTCTTGCCAGATAGACCATTCATTGGATGATAGACCTATCCTTTACGGGGACTGAAAAGTAAAATCCCCATTTTGATACCCTGTATCATTTTGATAACTTGCCAGTTCTAAAGAGACGGTGGAGGACTTTATTAGTTTTATAGTCGGTATTGCATAGTATAATAGTATTTAATATATTCATAATGTCTATAGCTAACATAATTATTTTTTTTATTTCTGTTTACAACAGTTTTACAATTAATAAAAGAAAATGAAATCGGTTCATTAGAAAATTAACAGGCAATTAAGTTATTCAATCGTGAATAAAAAGATGGAAGACATTTAAAAAAATCATTCAAAACCAGTATTGAAATGTGTACAAATGACAAAACCCTAGTAAGGTCTGGTCAGAGATTATCCAAAGTTCGTGAAGATAGTTACACTTTTTATCTCCCAAAAAATTCCAACAGGTATTTTTTAAAATGAAATATGTGGAGATAACGAACAGACAGTATTCGAGCGCAAAAGTCCATTAAACATTACAAAATAGGATCAGAGCAAACACGGACCTCTTAGACATAGGTGCCATGGAGGAGTGAGCATCCCCTGCCGACCGGTCACACCCGCCGTGTGCTCCTTGTCATGATCGGGAAATAACGGAAAAATCTCTCGACAATTCAGTGTGTAAACGGATAAAATAAATCAATGATGTTGCATTTTGATATAGGCAGAAAAAACATCAACGATATTAATTTTATCTTAGATGATAATGACTAAATATGTCAACTTTATTACATAACAAAAGATAAGTAACTGCTTAGTGAAAGTAAATGCATTTTTATTATTAATTAGATTATTATTTTTCAATTATAAAGAGAAGTGTATTCCTATATAAAACATTTACACCTATTATTGTATCAAACAATATTCAAATGCCATGGTTTTAAAAAACTAAATGAACATAATATGAAGGTACAATGTACTTATTCATCTAATGTCAAAACCTCGCCCCAAGGTTGCTACATCTTAGCTTGACATGATGTCTGGTTTTTTTTTAAATTTCATTTTTTGGCACAAGGAGTCTTGAGAAAAATTTTATTTGATCCGAACATTATAATGCATGTCCTCGAAGGCCCTTTGAAAGGGAGAAAAACGCTTTATAAAAAAATCACAAATTGTCTCCACTTGCCCAAAGATGTTTTCTTCATAATGTAGTTTAAAGTAGTCTACTGATTCTGAAGAGGGAAGCCATGATGTGAAAATGTAAAAAAAAAAAAAAAAAAACCAGAGGACAGATTGACAAATGAACGACCAACAATTTTTGTACAAAAAACATTACTTGAATCTTGATGCACCATTTCTATTATTAACTAATGTATGTATATTTTATCCTTAAATATGTTACAAGAATAAAAAAAATAACACTATTGTATCATATAGTTTAAATCCTATCTCTTTATAGGTTTTATTTTGGCAAAACATATCCGTTCCTTCAGAAATATACGTGCCTACCCAGGTGTAGAAAATGTATTACCCAGTAAAAATCTTGGGTTACCTTACCTTATTTTTCTTGTGCCAGATAAGGCGTTTGCATTTAAAACAATCCGTCTGTCGGTTAACGATAAAGGAACAACAAAGCTAAAATAAGTGTTTCTGAACTCTGACCCAAATTATAAAATGGCTGAAAAGGATGATACGTACAGCAGTAAGTGTTTTTTAAAAAAAAAAAAAAAAATATTTACATAACTATGCAGTAAAATTCTGATATAATTCAGCTTTGAAATGATTAAATAAAAACGGTAATATTTTCTTTATGTAATTTGTAAAAGAACCATGGCGATCGGATGAGTATGTCATAGCGCAAGAGAAGTTGGATAACTCAATCTTCATCATACACACTCATGAGAGTGAGCCAATTGCTGTATTCCTCAAAGAAAACCTAGAAAAGTTCCACGATGACTCAAAAATCACGGTGAACATTTGTGATGTTACTGAGATAGAGAGCAGAAATCTGGCTTTCCATGCAGCCATTCTTCTACTCACTCCAGAAATGATTTTTCATTTGGAATCAATGGCGGAATCCCCATGTTCAGCTTTACGGTTTCACCCGAGCACAATATGTGTTTTTTTGATTCATGAGCCTATAAGCATGGATGATGAACGAGTGAGTTCGGTCTTGAAGACCAAATTACCGGATTTCAACTCTTGGAAAATACTTAAATTAACACAAATAAGATCCACTTTAATTCAAATATTGCATTTGCTTGAGGAAGAGCCGTCGAGTCTCCCGAGATTGCTGCAATATTCTCTGGAGCCATCTCATATTTCCACGGTATTGTATAATGTTTCACATCCTATTGACGTCGATGGCCGACAGCGGCCGACACTTTCTGATTAAAATATTTTATTACGTACAGCGTTTTTGTCAATTTGTTGAAAGTACAACTAAACTTGTAATGCTTTTATATGTTATTGTACATGTACGATTATTACACTGAAAATTTCCACCAGCCAAAAACATTAAAATTCTTTCCTGTGATATGAAATCAAGATACATAAAACAGGTGACTTGAGAGAGATGAAAAGTGCAGTTTAGTGATTTTCACAGATCCCATTAAACATTGGTAACTACGGAAATAATTTGCCCATTGTCCAAAAACAAAATTCACACATCAACGAAACGTCCGATTTTATATATATATAAAAAAAAATTCGAATCTCCCCCCCCCCCTCCCCAGAAAACTTCAACCTGTGACCAGCATGTAACCAACATGAAATTTGAAGAATTACTACAAACTGTCGAGAAAGCATATCTAAAAGACAATTCTAGGCTAGAATTAATGGTGACTCTACGTTGCAGTTCTAATAGAACCTTATCCCTTTAGAGTAACCTGTTTAATTTACCTACATATAAATTCATGCATGGATCTAGAAGGTGGTCGGTGGCAGGATCCGCCCCTGGAATGTAAGAGTTGTTCTTTTCCGTGTAAAAATAACGAAAAATGACACTCCTTTGGAAATACGAACCCCTCTTAAGATGGAGGGTCATGTATCTGAAGAAAATTGAAAAGGAAAGTGACTACATTTACCCCATTCCCTTCCCCCGCAAAATAGGTGTTTCAGATTTGGGCAATTTGTTAATGTTTATTTTTTTGGCTTGTCGTCAAAAAAAAAAAAAAAAAAAATCAGAGTCTGCATTTGTTACAATTGATGTGGACCCCCTGGAAAAATACCTGGATCCGCGCCTGTTAATGATATTTCACATAAATGAATTTTGATATTTTTCCCCGGTGAAAATTGTCAATGTGATAATTGTATGTGTACATATATTATTACCAATTCAGTTGTAAATTGTCAACGAAAATTGACAAAAACGATGTACAGTGTGACAAAAAATTCTTTATAAAAAGTGGCGGCTGCTATCGGCCATCGTATTAGAGGGATATATTGCATCACCATCTATGTTAAAACAATATTTACTTGTTCATTACTTAAATTTTCCTGAATAAACATAAACTGAACATTTTTTGCAGGACAGGCATCATGTGTTGATTCTCTTCAAAACTGAAAAGGAGAAGTCTTCTATGGTAGTTGTTCATACAGAATACAGAAAGATAGATGCCAAGTACCAGAATCCGTATACATTCTCTTTCTCCCCATATGGTAAGGAATGAAAGAATATGTTTACAAACATAATTATATAAACATGTTAAAATTTTAACACTGTATTCAATTCGAATAACTTTTCAAAGTCAATAATCCAGAAAATATCTTATGATAATTGAGTTTTCAGATTATATCAAAATGTTTCAATGTTTGTGTTTTATACATACCAAATGACTTTTTAAAGTTACAGAAGAAATGAACTATTAAATGATCTTTGTTTTACTAAATAATAATGTGCAGCGTCCCATTCCGTATCTGTTTCTTTAATGTCAAATTCAAAACATTTTCGTTGCAAATAATAATTATCATTGATATTAAAAAGCAGTTTTTATTTTTCTAAATATGTGTTTTCAGTGATTAAAACACTGAAAAGTAACTACGTATTACTGTTTACATTTTGTATATTGATTTGCTTTACGTCTCTTTGAAATTTTTTCACCGATATTGTGAAGCTATCAATTGTCTGTAAATTTATACCTATGCTTGTGGCCATTGAGCATTGAATGATCTCGAGAACTTGGTTTATACAGTCTCATCAGAATTAGCGGTGTTACTTCAAGATATGATACACTTAAAAGTTGCTCCAAGTTACAAAATACTTAACAGTAACTTCAAGTTATACGACTACAATTCAAAAAAAAAAAAAATTTAGAAGTTAATGTCAAATCATAATACACATAACGGTCGCTTCAAATAATAAAATACTAAAAAAGTATCCTCAAGTTATATTACTCTAATTTATAAAATACCAAAAGTAACTTCAAGTTTTAATACATTTAATAGTCATTTCAAGTTATAAAATACTAAAAAGTACCTTCAAGATATATAACTTCAATTAATAAAATATTTAAAAGTAACTTCAAGTTTCCAATACACTTGATAGTCACTTTAAGTTATAAAATACTAAAAAGTATCTTCAGGTTATATTACTTCAATTTATAAAATACCTGAAAGTAACTTCAAGTTCTAATACACTTTGAAGTCACTTCAAGTTTTAAAATACTTAAAAGTAGCTTCAATTTATATTACACTAAATAATCACTTCAAGTTATAAAATACTAAAAAATACCTTCAAGTTATATAACTTCAATTAAATATTTAAAAGTAATTTTAAGTTCTAATACATTGAATAGTCACTTCTAAGTTTTAAAATACTTAAAAGTACCTTCAATTTATATTACACTAAATAATCACTTCAAGATATAAAATGACCTATACGTAACGTCAAGTTCTATTGCAATGTTGATTTCAAGTAATAAAAAAGTGAAAAGTCGGTTTATATTTCAATTAAGGTTTACTTCATGGCCAAACACAGATCACTGTCTTTGTGAATGGCAAGAACGAGGGTTCTACAAACCTTAGTGTTAGCAATAAATTGGAGTTTTTGTATAAGGAGATGGACGATATAATATCCCCTGTCGAGTTCCTGTGTCAGGTTTTGAAACTTACAGTCGAAGATAGAGAAACTCTGGATAGAGAGCTCAGTGATAGGATAAATAATGATGTGTTTAGTTCACCATGTCTGAAGACTGTTAATGACCGAGACTTGTTAAATGGTATGTTTCACTTCAAATGCTCTTTAAATACGAATTGTCTATTTTTTCACACATTTGATTTAAGTTACATGTAAATAAACCAAGAAAGAGTTTTTAAATACTAAGAAATTATTAGCAGTTTGTGTAAATATATTTTTTCCCTGGTTGTGATAGCAGCAAGGTGTATATACATTATCTGCCAATCAAAATTTATTGATTAAACAGAAGAAAAGGATTTAAAATAATGATTTTTAATTCTTTTATTTCTTCTCAGATACAAATAAACATTCTTGAGAAAATATTATAGGTGTGCAGATGAACAATGAATTGCCAACGATGTTACATTTTGGTGCAAAGTATGGACTTTCGCAGTTTTGTAAAGCTATAAAAGGTTGTCGCGGCTTTGAAAGTGCCATAACGACACTTAACAAGGACAATGAAAATCCTTGTCAGTTAGCTAAAAGATTGGGATATCTTCAGCTTTCAAGAGATCTAGATCCTTTGATGCTTGTCCTGGAAGACTTACCACTATTTCCTAAGAGTAAGTAAAATGAAATATAATTCAGATTTTTTCTTCTCTGAAATGAAATCTGGTCAATAAACGGGTGTACCAATTAAAAAGAAAATGTGGTTGTTCTACCAAACCTGTGATTTGTCGTTTCTAGCGATTTTAATTCAGTCAAATTTATATGAATATTCCACAATTATTTACGTTTGTTTCATTATACTGAACCTCATATGTATGTAAATCAATATAAATGACTATGTAAATCAATTGGTATTAAAATGTATGCTTTTGTATTTAAGGTGGCTTAAATTATTTATTACAGATGTACCTTTAAGTGAGCCTTGTATTTGAAATATGCTTTCAAATTTTATGAAAATTTGATTTTAAGGCATTTGTTAGAATGATGATTGAAATTTAAGAGAATTTCTAGATTTAAAGGAACGTATAAACTGTACATTTGAGTGAATTCTAATTACTACCTCTAGACTTCAGTAAGACCTGTAGAAATAAGACATGTAGAAAAAAAGATTTTACTTCTACTGATAGTTTACCTTGATTGTTTGAAATGACGATAATTTAAAAATTGTAGATCTTTCACTTCGTTCTAAAAATATTCTGAGTACCAGTGCAAAAGAAACCCGATCACCAAAAGTAAGTTTTCTTTTTTTTTCTACATACATATATGACGTAGAATGTCACGTTAATTTATTTTGTAGATGAACTTTGATTTTTCTAGAAATTGAGATTGAATAAAAAAATTTTGTTTCACAATTCGCAAACGGAAACATCAGGAGATGTGTCATGACATTAAGACTCATAAATCGAGTTTTTCAATCAGTAATGCCTTTTAAATTGTAATGAGAGTGATATTAGAACCAGAAGATAGTTCTGCTAAATATAATTGTCAATTAATTTCTACATGTTCTCTCTACAGGTGACCTTGCAAAGAAGGCCAACAGATATTGGGAGATATTTTCCAGAAAGAAAAGGACCGGGTAATTATATATATCAGCTTCTTGAAAAAAAGGAACAAATAACAATGCAATGACCATTCGAAATGACTATCCTCTGTATGAAAGAAGCTTTTCCTATTGAAACAACGCATACTGCATTCTCTTCCACAAAATTGGTGCAATCCGCTTATGTACATTTTTTCATACGTTTTGAATTCTACCGACGGACTTAGTCCTCTGTAATATGTATATGAGCTCTAAGGACACGTCTATCCAATTTAGCAAGATTCTCGTTGCACCGAGATACTTATAGGATAGTAATCTAGACAATCTCCCCCTAGACTGAATAGAAGACACTTCTGTTTTATTGTCTTTTACGGAGGTATACTAGAATTTATGTTAACATTAGAGGTCCTTAATGACTCGTTTCTAAAATCTATGAATATTATCACGATATTATTACGTTGAAGTATTTAGTATTTAGTTTGTAATTTGCCTGATTGTTTAGAGAACTATATATTTGATATGTTGTAGCTCCCAAACCTCCTTCTAAAGAAAGTAAAACTGGACTGAGAGACAACTCAAAAAAAGATCAGTCAGTACGTTCTATTTTTAATTGTGTATCTACATTTAGGGAAATACCCCGGAAAATTATCTGTGTAACTGATGAACTTTTGACTATCAAGCAAGTGTAGGGCAGGTAGAAATCAGATATTTTTTCACCTGTTGAAAGATTGTATTTCAACATCAATCCCCCATTTAACTTTTTTTTTCAAAAGGCCTTTTAAATTGTAAAGATAACACCGCTTATTTAATATATATCAAATAAACCCATCCAATTTTTAAAACTGAAAATGATAGCTTCACATTTTTAACCTTTTAAATCATCACTTATCTTTTTTACTATTATTATTTTTTAAATACAATTTAGGTGCCTTTAAATGGAAGTCAATTGAATATGGAAGACAAATCAGAATTCAGACGAGATACAGGTCTGTCTGTAATTTTGACATGAGATGATTATGGGACATCAAAACAGGAAGTTGCAATTCTACTAAGATGTTTTAGAAACAAAAAGCCCATAATATTTTTTTTCAATTCAAATACAGCCTTATTTCAAGGCGGAGTAATTATATTGCTTTGGAGGACAGTATAAGTTATTAAGTAATGAGCAATGTTTAAAAACTTTGAATATGTACCTGAAGTATTTCCAAAGATGATATCGTCATAAATCGATCCCAGATCTAGAGTTCACACAAAAGATAGAACAACCATTGTCTTAAATTTAGGTCATTTATTGAAGAAGTATAGTTAAGAATTAATTGTGATGGCTTCTGGTGTGAGGAATCTGATGATTAAACAGATGAATCATTCATAAAATATATAAAATAGAATTATTTCTTTGCTCTTTTGAAGATGCTTGTTGTTATAAATGTATATATTTTCAACAGTTTTATTATATCTTCTCTTAAAGTTTAAGGATGGAGACTGTTTACCTTGAATTCATTATGATATGGAGCTGGTATGTATTATAATATATTCAAGCTAAAAAATAATGATTTCTTGATTCAATAATCAATAATATATACACCAAAGTAGTAGTGCATATCAACAATATTTTCATCAACTTAATTTTACTGTATTGTAATGCTATAAACAAAAATAAAATCATTCCGATCATTTATGAAACATATGTTTGTCTGAATTTTATGTTCTCACCGATACTTTATAACAGGTTTCAGGTTTTTGAAATTTTCGTTTCTTTCTTTTCTCGGACCTCTTTGAAGATGATGAAAAAGAAAACGAAGAAAACAGCAGAGATGAATACCCTTCAAATTTTCTTGTGAAATATGATACATGTTAAAAGCTTGCTTCACGGAATTTTAAGTGAACAATATTTTTATACAAATAAGAAAAAAGCACTACAAATAAACTAATTACTGTTATAATTGTTATTAAATGCAGTTTTTGTTTTTTATTCTTTTTATTGTGTGTGTAAAGAATGACGAAATTATTTAGTTCAGGAGATAAATCTCATAGATGGCGATGTTTATTTATTAGACTTACAATTCTCTCTAACTTTTATATGGAAGAACCCTTGGTGTCAAATGATTATTCCTTGGTACATACAACCCATCTTTGAGTGAATACCAGGATAATTTGGCCCGAGGTAATATTAAATTTCCTCGATATTTTGTGTTTACACTCTATGCAATATCTTCCATAATATGCTTCTGTATTCAATACAGCCTCCGTTATAGTTGTCTCTTAAAATAATAAAACATAATACATAACAATATTAACAAGAGGCCCATGGGCCACATTGCTCACCTAAGTAACTATGGCCCTTCTGTTTTCATCATCAAATTTTTTCCCTATATATATACCAAACCCCCAGCCCCTTAGAAGAAGGTGTGGCCCTTCATTTGAACAAAATTTAACCTCCTTTACCCAAGGATTTTCTGATTTCTGATTTTCTTAGTTTAAAACGTCAGGTTTTTATTTTTAATTTTTAAATATACATACATGTATTAAGATTTCCGTCAATCGTTCAATTTTATGTCGAAAATGCGTAGACATTTCAAATCTTTTAACACGTGTGATATGCAGGAACTTTATAAAACAAAATATTGATGTTTGATAAACTTTATTTCTCTTATCATATTCTTACATGTATCTTTATATTTCTTGAAGATGACACTTTGTAAAGATTACAATAAAGAGACACATATACTTACCTGCTGTTATAATACAAATGAGATTATATATATATATATATATATATATATATATATATATATATATATATATATATATATATATATATGAGAGAGAGAGAGAGAGAGAGAGGGAGAGATGTACATTGAAGTTAATTAAGAAGTTAAATTCTTGTTAGTAAAATGTATATATAATTCATGTATATTTTAATTATGCAATCTGAAATAAGCAGTACAGAATCTAGAACTGAATGATATATTTTTGCATATCTTTTCTGAGTAACAAAAGAAACAAGGACTGAAATAAATTCCTCCACAAAGTTTATTTATATTAAAGTTTAAAAATAATTAATCTAGAAAAACTCTATTTCTGCATCCTGCATTTCTGCAATTGCAAACCTATCCCAAAAAAATTCTAGCAAAATTTTCAAAAGAAATGACATAATGAGTTTTTATTGTATGATTATAATACAAACAATTAGTACAATTGATATCTCGTATATTATTATCAATACACTGATAATGGATAACACGTATTATATAAATACAATCATCCAGTATGATGAAGCATTTTGACAAGTAAACGTCAAACTTGTATCAGACCAAGCATGAGTCTCACAAGCAAAGGTAAGCGTCATTAAATACAAAAGAAAAATGATAAGAATTATTAGATGAGTTTGTAAATTATTTTGATTATTCATTTCGTGAATATTGAAACTAAGAGGTAATAGACACTAAAACGCATTTGTAAAAAAATACTTAGATGTTCTCTTGACTAAAAATAAAGGTAAATATAAAAACGTTACTAGTATATAATGCTTTCGAATAACACACCTTAAAAAATTAAAACAGGCGTTGAAAGTGATACTTTAGCGATCCTCTATGCTGATGACGGGGAGGAAATAAGCACGCATTTGGAAAGTTATTTCAAGGAAAGATTTCGGCTCAAGATTCAGACTGTCAACATTTCCTCAGCATGTACGTTAACGAAGAGTAACCTGAGTTTGGTTATACTGACTCCAGACATGATCCACGACCTCCAAGGAAAGCCAAAAGAGTTCCTTTCCAGCGCATGCTCAATGTGCCAGAAAAGAGCTTTTTTGTGCCACAATGAAAGTGTTAGCATCAGCAATAAATCCACAGAAAAAGTTTTACAAGAATCATGTTCAGACTTAAGTGCATGGAACACAATTCATCTAGGGACATCTTCCGAAGATTTCAAGATGGCTTTGCTTCGGATCATGGAACTTATGGATTCAACACCCAATGCACCTCCGGTGCTTCTGGGCTTCAAAATAAGTCCCAAAAAGATTTCATCCGTGAGTTAAATATGATTTGATAACTATGATTTATACTTTTATTTAATTTATGTAATACAAGAATATTTTTATGAATTAAAAATAAAATTGAATACAGACCTTCTTAATATCCCATTTGTTTTATACTATTTTGTAGCCTAATGAACACATAGTTGTGATCTTCAAAAAAGAAATACTAAAGGGTGATGTAACTGTTTTACTTGAAAGAAACAATTTTCGAAAGACGATAAAATGTACTGAACTTAACTCCTTGACGTATACGTTTAAACCTGAAGGTAAGAACTATTAATGATATAATTAAGTATTGACTTTACGATATCATAATATCATTATATACATATATATAACATGACGAGAACGTAGATCGACACTTTTGCTTTTGAAACTTCTTTCGCCTCTTCTTTCTTTGCATTAAGATAAGAAAATTCCTTTTCTTCTTCAACATTTTCAATTTTTAAAATGATGTTAAATATTTATTAATGGTGGACAACCGTAAACATATTTGGAATCAATTTTTATAATGACTGAAGAAATTGACAATGACAAGAGTTCTTAAGTTCAATTTTTTCATAAATATGAAATACTATAAATCTTTGACAGGAATGCCTGATGGACAAATTACCATGCAAATCTTTACTAACAGCGTCTCGGCCGGAAAGACAAGTTTCATCATTAGTAGCAAAATAGACAGATTTTCATCCATGATCTCCGACATGATAAATCCCCTTGAATTTTTCCTCCAAGCTATGGACTGTGACGATCCAGACTCTCTGGATCGTGAACTTGTAGACATTCTGACCAATGGGACCGGGGGGAGCAATCCCCTATCTGGACTGGAAATGTTAGACTTCAGAGATTATATATGGAGTGAGTAAAATGAAGTGTGTTTTAATTAGTTCAAAGGCTGTTTTAACATATTCGTTGAATCAGTTTTGTATACATTTAGGAACAAGCTTTCAGAAAACCATTTTTTTCCTTCAATTTTATGGAAGTTAGAGTAAAATTTATAGACACATATAGAAATTTATTTATCAGACAAGGTCAAAGTAATGGTCATTGTGGTACATACATTTATTTACATGCCCCCCCCCCCCCGACCCCTTGCCACACAATGCAGTGAAAACAATTAAAGATAACGTGTCAGATAGGTATTTAGACTTTGATATATTTCAATTTGGCCTATAAAATCTAATTTCTCTTTACTTAACATGTCGTTTTTATTCAAGTTCATATTATGATGAAACAGAATGTCACATATGTAACACTTAAATCAATTCCAGATAGTACTGTTCATCACTACAATAGTTGCAATCCTGTAAAAGGTAAAGATAACGAAAAATTCTAGTGATCTCACAAATCCAGTAATACGAACCGTGAACAGGGCAAAAACAGGGACCTCTGGAAACACGAGAGGTGGGATCAGGTGTCTAGGAGGAGTAAACATCCCTTGTCAACCACCCCTCTGTATTGATCAGATATACAGAGTAATCGGTAGTCTAAATGACATTAAAAAAACTGACCTAACAAAATTGTCAGTTATAATAAGATAATGTCATCAAAACAACCAGTCATCGGACGAATTATAGGACATGTTATTTTACAGAAAAGAAGTCAGCTAGAGAATTTCCAACACTTCTCCACGTCGCTGCAAAACTTGGGTTAAAACTACTATGTGAAGCTCTAAAAAAATATCCTGGCTACCAGGCTGCAGTTTGTATGAAAAATAAGAACGACAAAACAGCAAGTCAGATTGCATTGTCTGAAGGTCATACTGATATAGCAGCAAATATTCAACCTCCTGAAAACTTTGCAATGTTTCAAAGCGATGACAGTGAACCTATCGGTATTTGTTAAAATTTCTACCGATTTTATACCAATATAGTTTAGGAAATATTATGCTAAATATTGAAATTTCATTAAGTTTTTTCATCTTTTTGTTATTATTTTGCCTATGTACATTTAGGTAATACTTCCGACGGCTATATGACCATGAAGCAAGTGAATGCAGGTAAAATATTCATTTAAGATACTTTGATATTCAAAATAATTTTTTTTATGTTTAAGTTCAAATAAAAGAATTTTAGTTTTAGAATTTTTAAATAATGCTTAAAATGGCTATAAGAAATAGTCCAATGTAAACAGAATGAATTTGAAGATTTTTTAAATTATATACTAATTGATTCAAATACATGTTGGTATGGTTTTAAATTTTTTAATGTTGATTAGCCAAAAGGTGGCTAAATTACAAGTATAATCGATACAATTTCATGAACTTGTTCTCTTATGCAAGTAATGTCTTTTGGATATAAATGAGGGAAAATTAAGTCAAGTAAATTATTGATTCTTGTTGTTAATAAAACAACTTCATAATTTTAAAAACTAGAAAATATTGCAAGAACTTTTAATTTTCAAGTTAAATTTTAAACTAATGCTAAATTTGATTCATTTTAAACCAATGCCAAATGAGGTTTTTAATGTAGTTTTGAAATTTTCAAGGCAATTAATTATGCTCTGACGGTCGAATTATTGCTTGTTGTTGGAAGTATTTCTTACCTATATTTGGTGATTCTGTATAGGGCAGGAAAAAAGATATAGTCCTCCACCTCTTCCTCACCGACAAGTAAGTTCCTGATATCAACATTTTAATTATTTTTCTGCATGCGTCAGTGTTGTAAGATGCCATTCACAAGTGCAGTTCATCCACAAATACATGCACCTACAGATGGATCTGATCCAACTTTTCAGAGATCCGTGATGTCTCTGCCCACAGTTTGTATTGTTTCATTGATTATGCTGTTCGCTATCTTCTCATTTTAGTTAAAATTTTTATACGATATTTTGACAAGTTGTTTGGTAACTATTAGAATTCCATGATGTCACTATATTTCCATAAAATAATATTTAATTGCACGGAGAAGAGAAAAAAGGATTACATTTACATGTACATAGATAGTATTATTATACATTCCAGTCCGATTCGGATCTTCTTGTTAGACGTCGTTCAAAGAATAGCCAAAGAGGTAAGCAAATATTACCAAATATGATCATGAATTTAAAGCCAAGTTTCTAAGGAACATAAAGTCAAATATTACATTAAAAATATTATTTCAGACAGTGCATTAACGGAGAGTGCAACAAGTGATCTCAGCGTTTCATCTTTAGAAGATGCAATGTCTATTGATCCTAAACAGGCAAGACAAAATCCTTTCTTATTCCTTATCAAAGCATTTTTATTCGTAATTAAATATTGTGAAATAAAAAAAAAATTCGTTGTTTTTTTCCCAGGATAATTGAATCTGTGATAAAATTGATTTATAGTTTAAACCACAATATTTTTTTTTCTATGATATTAGAACTTAATATATATCTACAATGACAAAACTTTTGATTACAGATGACACCACGCATGACGTTGATTTTCAAAGATGAAATTGATTATTGTGGAAATCTAAGTACAAAACTTTGAATGTGTTTAAATTTATGATTTGAACGGAATGTTCTAAGTGTATATTTTTTATATTATACTTTCTTATATGCGTCTATTATCAGACTGATACACATTTGTAATATTTGTCATTGACTAAAATATTCCACAAATACATTTATATGTGTTAAAGATCAAACTCTCAAAAAACAACGGGTTAATTATCAGGTGAGTCTTGTGTTCACAAATCAACGAGTATCTATATATTCTATTGTATTAATGATAGTTTTATCGAGTTTATTATTTAATTTTGTATTGTAAAATTAAAGAATGTTGACTTTTAACAACATGAACAAATATATACAGATGTTGACACAATATTATAGCTATTATTGATAAAAAGAAAATATAGGATATAAAATTCATTTTATGCGTTACATTAAACATTGTATAAAGATTGCTAAACCATTAAAAAGTATGAGATTTTGTGTCTTCTGTGCTCATTTATTTATTAGGATTATTATAAAATAATCAATAATACCTTAAATATAATTTTTTTTCTCAACAATATAACAGAAAAGACTAATTAATGAGCCCTGAAAAATCCCACAGACTGCCTTCTGTAGATTACTAATTAAACACCTGTATATGCATTCAAGTAGTATTTATTGAATATTGTTGTACATTCTCCTGTTAACCCACTTTCACATTTATTTCATTTTTCGTATTAACTCGTACTGATGAGCTGAAAAGTTCAAAGATAACAAGATGTGTTTGTGAAACACTGATGCCCCCGTTTGGCAGCTCAAGGACAAGGTTAAAGTTTTTCAAATGAGGTAAAATTCCACGATCAAGGTCAAGAGTTTAAAAATGTTGGTACCCAACGAAATATCTTTTCACAAGGAATACTCATGTGAAATATGAAAGCTCTAGCATCAAGCATTCAGATAATATGACCAAGGCTAAAGTCAGACAGACGGACAGACCAAAACAATATGCCCCAAAATCTTCGAGTACGGGGACATAACAAAGATAAGAAGGAACAGGACTTATACAGTACTTTTATTCCTAAGGTAGATATTTTTATTAGTGACATGTTTTAACTTACTGGAATTTCTTTTTTAAAGGAAATAAAAATAATAGCTCGTAAAAGAAAAACAGATAAACAAAAACACAATTGGTACATATGAATAAGGAAATTTTACTGGAAAGTACACGTATAAAAATCGAGAAAATGCTAAACTGTGATATTTTTTTAACCTCATATTTTAACAAGAAAAGGTCATGGTTACCAGGAATACAATATATTTTTGAAAGAGAGAAGTAATCTTGCAAGGGACGTAAAACTATAAACAATCAATCAGTTTCCCTTTGAATAAGGAAACTCATAAATCAAAATTCGATTTATAGAATTTCCTCTATATATATTTATCCATACTTTCTTAGAAATACTAGGAAATTCCATAAAAATATAAATGAAGAAAGAAAGCAAGCCATCGATAGAAAAAAAGGGGCAAGAAATAATAAGTATTTATCTAGCAGTATCTGACATCGGAGGTCCATGAATCGTTACCCTAATTTGATCGTATTCTGTTTCATTTTGTAAGTCATGCATTGGTTATGAGTTTTTTTTCTTTCAATTGAACTGATCGTTTTGAAAAATCATGCCTTTTTGATTATTTAGATCTCGTTCAAAGTACCGATGCTTACCCAGCGCCATTTTAAAAAAACAAGTCTTAGGGTCGTTACCTCCGCAGATATGACATGCCAGAAATTACAATTCGGATACGTGACTTTTGTTGACATAATTTGAAATAAGCGCACGATAGCACCAATTTCAAACTTGAGATAGGTCGTAAAAATTATATTTTAGACTTTCTTGTCAAATGTATGCGAAAATGGAGAATTTTCTAAGTGAGGTGAAATTTTCTTTATGACTAATTTATTAATTTTTTTTTACCCGTTTTTACCTAACTACCGCCGTCTGCAGTTTTAACATATGACAAAGGCAATCCAAATAAAAGAGATGAGTGAACAAAGAGTGCAGAATGCCTATAGCTTCAGATATGTAAAAATCATATTCAATTTGTAAATTTAGAGTAAAGTTCTAATTATTGATATTTATGAAATGATTATAAACAAAACTTTTCACTTTCTGAGGAAAATTTTCGGCAAAAATCATTCTGTTATTACAAAATAATACGGTATTCCTGGGGTTCGAATCGTTGCAATAAAAAAACTAAATATCATTTCCTTTCAGACTAGCACGCTTACCACCCCGCTATACCGCTCATAACAACTACTGGCATTTAAATCGTGTTTGTGATATGATCCTTGACTAAACGGACTTCAAGTATTTCTCGGTAAAAAGATGCGAATGTTGTGTCATAAAAGTGTATTTTTAAGGTATAGTGGATCTTTGCTCCATGTTTTTGTTAATAAAAATGTATATTTTTACGCAAACTCTGAGGATAAACTTTCAAAAAAAATGGAGGGATGATCCTTTTTGCCTTCTTTAGTGTCTGTATACTATTTCATGGCAAATAATTTCAATCTTTGAGAGATTTTTGCAAATAGATTTTACATAAAGTATACTTTAATGTTGGATTAGATATATAGGAATATTTTGTTATAATTAAGATTTAATTTTTCATGTTTGTCGCATTATATGCATTTCGCTCGCATTGTTCTCCCATCTTCTTTTTCTAACGATGTATGGTGCGGCAGCGGACACAATCATAGAATTAAAGGCTTTTACATATACAAAAGGTGGTGCTAAATATTTGTTAATATCAAAACGTAAAATATATTTTAAAAAATTCTATTGATATGTTTTACAAAATGAACTTGACATTTAAAAAAAAGGTAGATCTGTTTATTAAATGATAAATTATCCATAAAATTAGATTCATGTTACCCCAGTTTTTAACTTTTTAAAGTGATGACCGAGCTTTTAAAAAAGGGTCTCTGAATAACGTCTCTTTTTGTATTTTCACATTTAAAATATTGCACCACTGCATAATATCATCTTGAAACTTTCTTAATCTCTCAAAGTACCTAGCTAAGATTTAAGCACTTAATTGATTATAATACACTGATTATAACTTAAGAGAGTATCTTTATTATCAAGTATATAATTATACGTAAATAATACAGAATGTTCAGAAAGGGTGACTTAATTTCAACGCGAAATGGTGGAATATACGGTGTGTATGTCTTTTACGTCCTTATTCGTCTCCTATCTGTAAATGATATTTTGTTTTCCTTTTGATTAGTTCCTTCTGTAGATATACGAAGCCCTTTACATTTAGAATAGGCTAATCAATATACACGTATACAAAACCAAACACTACGACAAATATTGAATCGGTGCTGTTGAATTATTCTGTCATGTTTCATTTTAACTAAAAACTTTTTTTGCTACATTGCTGAAGCTGTTCATGAGTAAATTTTTCTGTTTGTTTGAGGGTCTTGATCAATTATTAAATTTGAGGAAACAAACCTTTTTTTTTTTTTTTAAAAAAAGATTGTAATTCTTTTTTTTTTGTAGTTTATTTTCCTTCTCCATTAATGTTATTTGCTCTTAAAATAATTCTTTCATCATCACATCACAATAAATCCACGTGGTAGCTTATCTATTTCTCACATTTGTTTACCGCAATCAACGTAAATAGTGTCAGATAAATCCCTCGCTTATCTAATGTAAAAACAACCGTAGAGGCACTGCATTTAAACTTAACGAACAGGATGAACAATAAAAGTGAGTAGACGTTTCATTTTAATTTAAAAAATATTCTGAGAGAGAGAGAGAGAGAGAGAGAGAATTCTACCGAATTATTTCTCAGTCGCAATATGTAATTAAACGTGTTTACTGAATTTGATGTTTCGAACATTCAGCATCTCTTTCTTTTTTACAGATGAAAATGATATTGTTCTCTATTTTGCCGATGACGGTGAAAGTATTTGTGATCTTATCCTTGCATCTTTGGATAAATTCAAATATACAGTTCGTAAGCACAACGTCTGTATCGGGCGACCCCCAGAAGAAAGCAAAACATTTATTCTTGTTTTAACTCCAGAAATGTTGGAAGAACTTGAAATTCGACCAAAGCATTTTTTAAAGAAAATAGCGTCAGGTTCTGTTAATCAAGCCTTAATACATCATGACGTCATTGATATTAAGAATAATAACACAAGACGAGTCTTGGAATATCAGTGTCCGGACAGTCTTACCTGGAAATGCCTTAGCACTGGGAAAAACGACGAGGAGTTCAAAATGACATGTTTTCAGATTTTTGCTTTGATAGATACGAATTTCAAACCATTCGAAGTTCCTACGCTAGTGAATTTCAAACTGACACCAAAAGAGATTTGGACGGTAGGAGAGTTTTACTTTTACATTGTATATATTTGTTACTTGAATTGTCTGAAGGAATTGTTACTTCATCATTGTCATAAACACAACACAGTTTTTTTTTCTGGACAGTATCAGTATTTTTTTTGGGAAAAATTTCAAAGTCTAAGATTAGAAGTGCAAGAAATATATACTGAATGAATATGATGAATACATGTACATCTTCATGGATTTTAGTTTTGAATCTTACAGGCAAAAGACGATGTTATTATTACCTTTAAGAAGTCAGTGAACGACAAGAATATGAATGTTCGCCTGAGACACCGATGTGGTCTTTCTAATACATTACGATGTTTAAAACTAAATGAAACAGCCTACAAATTCAACCCAGAGGGTGAATACTTAATAGCACTCTAGTACATGTAATAAGTACAGTATCTCGTATGTTGGTTAGTACTTGTTATAACTACCTTCAGACGTGTATTTCTGTCTCGTCATTGGACTTTAAAGGAAAAAAAAAAAAAAAAAAAAAAAAAAAAAAAAAATTAGGATACCATATAAACAAGGTCACAAGTTTTCCGCGGAAATTTGTCACAGCATACTTGAAGTGCATTTATGATCTACAAAAGCAATCAAAGATATACCTGCAGATCGAACATAAATTTTGATTTTGCGGAATTAAATTTACAGTATTTGGAAAATTTTTGCTGAAAGACACTGAAGGGTGTTTAACTTGTTGGCAACTATAAACAAATAACTATCGAAAATAGGAATTCATATGTTCATAATTACCGGTAATTAATATGTTTCTTTTTTTTTTATTTCTGCTAGAATGCAAACACGAAAAAGTACTAGAGAATAAATTTCATTGATGAATATTAAAAAGGTTATAGTATGCCATGCTTCTAGTGTATTTCCTCTTACCAAGAAAAATTGCCCAGAAAATGTTCTCCTCTGACTTTAGGGATGCCGGAGGGTGAAATTTTAGTTGAGGTTCTGGTTGATGATTCATCCCTGGGAAAAACATCGTTTGCAATTCGTCCCAAAATGCAACTGCTCTCAGATCTCCTGGATGACGTCATAAACCCCATAGATTTCATCTGTAAGACAATGAAAACTGAAAACGCTGAAGCTTTAGATCTGATTTTAAGTGAAAAATTTTCAAATTTCAAAACTTACAGAATTCCACTGAGTGGCCTAGAAAACGTGACTCAAGAGGAAAATTCGAAAATATTTGGTTGGTACATAATTATATGCTTAGAATATAATTATTGTTAGAGCATGAGCATTTAGAACATAAAATGATTCAAAAAGCTTAAGACTTTATTCATTTAACAGAAAATAAAATTAGCATTGACAATTTTAAAAATGCATGGTTTCAACTCTGATTTTTTTTTTAAATCACTCACTGTTATATTAGCCAATGCATCGGAGTCTGAACTTCCTACTATTCTCCATTTTGCTGCAAAATACGGTTTACGTCGGTTCTGCGAGACATTGATGAGGTATCCTGGCTATAAGGCCGCTAGGCTGATAAAAAACAAAGATGACAGAACTCCAAGTGAGATTGCACTACTTGCAGGTCATAGTGCTCTTTCAGAGCAAATTCAGGTTGGTAGAATTCACCGGAAGTAGTAGAAAATGTGCTTTATAGAATCATGCCTACTCTACCTACAGTGAATTTTTATTTCCTTTTACTTACTTTATTTTCAGAATACAGAGTGTGCTTCTGATTATGAAGAAATAAGTAAGTAGATTTTGATCATTTTGCTTTTTGAGGTGTTGACTGTGTGCGTTAATTTAAAAATTAAAATTTTGATTAAAACTTATGTGTAACTATATTATAGTTATTGATAAGTTTTAATTAAGATTAATCTTTTATTGTAACACATGTCTTCTAAAATCCAAGAAGAGACTTCTTTCAAAAAATATTCTATGACTTTAACATATTATAAAGTTCCCTTCAATAATTCATCGTTTATTGCTCTTTTCCTTTTAATGTATAATATACCTTTTTTTCTACAATATTACAAATACACATTATAACAATAGATAGTTTCTGACAACGAAATTATGTAAGTCAAATTTGATGTACTTTACATCGCTCTGTAAGTATTCTATATATTCTCACCGAAGAAACCATCTCAATAAATTGATATATCACTGCAATTGCTGTGCATACATATGAAATTTGAATTCGAGTTTGTATCATCAATATGTTGCACATACTATAATACATTCATTGTATATGAAATGTACCAGTTATCTTATCAAATTTGATGATACATTATATAAATCAATGTTTACTCTTATGTCAGTTTTGTGTATGTATGTAATCGATATGAAGTGGAATCAAATATTTAGAACTTCACCAATAAAAAGGGGATTTTTCTTGATTTGAATTTAAAAAAAAAATCACTTTACTGCTTCATAGCACAAGAAATAAGCCTCACTGATCTATTGGCGACCTTCACCCCTGTATATGGACATTTTTAAATGGTCTCTATAAACGATGCAACTAAATTAATCCTCCCCACCAACGAGGGCCCATATACTTTTTATAAAAAGAAACTGTAAACCAAAAAACTCTTCTCATAAAGAAGGTAGATAAGCAGGCTAAAACAGGGATCCTGCTCAAGTGTGCTCCTCCTTACGGTTCTGGTAGGATCTAGCTCATTTCTCAGTCTCACGAATCAATTAAGAATCATAATTGTCTTAAATGCGTGTCTACGAGAAAACCTTGCAGAATGCTATGAAAGCAAGTTTTTCAAAATTTCTTTAAACTTTGCATACAAAGTGAGATCAAGGTCACTTACTTACTGTGTAAGTTTGGTGACGTCATTTGATTTGTTACCATGGATACAGGGAGAATTAGTTTATCGTCGGCCTATTTCTATACCCAATATGGGAAAATGACACCTTTTGTACATATTCTATTCGTGTATAAAAAATTTCCATAATATCTTCAAAATTAATGGACTTAAGGAATTAAAACCTTTGAAAAAAAATATTTACAGAATTTATTCCACATACCTTTTTGAATGTGAAGAGCTACGAGTGCAAAAAGGTCACGATAATTGTAAGGCATAAAGATATTTGAATAGTCTGCAGAAAAACAGCTATAAAATTCCAAGAAACGCTTCCATTGATTTAATATTTTTAATAAGCGATTGTTTTTAAATATTTTATTTAGTATTAATGGGATTTTGGTTGCAAATTTAAATTAATGGAGTTTTCACTCTTGTAAGTGCAGAACTGCAAGTGCAAAAAGGTCACAATAATTCTAAGAGATATTCTGTAGAAAAAACAGGCATAGAATTTCAAGAGACACTTCAGTGATTATATTTTTTATCAAGAAGTATTTGTTTAGAGATATTTCAGTAAAAATAACAGGCAATTTGGTGGCACATTTGAATTAGTTGATTTTTTCACCCTAGCAAAATTACACTATATCTGGGTAGAAAGGCATACTGGACTACTGGAGCGATTACATTTTGAACATTAAATCATTTCAGGCACATGACCTTCAATCTTCATGACTGAAATTAGCTTATATTTATCCAGAATGTCACAAAGATGCATGATTTGAATATTTGTTTAACCAGAAGTTTTTTTTGAGACTGTAGCTCTACTGGTTTGTACTTCTAATAAAGGACAACATAAGTAGCAGTTGGACTTGAAACTTTGCAACAGCAACAAATAGAATAATGATCCTTGATTTGGTCTCTTTTCATGGAAATCTGACTAAAACTAAAGGAGGAGTAGATTTTAAAAGAATTTTACAGAAATTTCTATTTTAGTAACCATGGCAACACTGTTCATCAAAATCAAAATCCAATAAAAAAAATTATGTATCTCAGTGTAGTCTACTTGTGTGCCAAGTAATATTGAAATCAGACCAAAACTGTAGGAGGAGTAGCTTTTGTTGACAGACAGGCAGACGACCAACACCTTACTATCGCATAAGCTCTTCTGGTCTCTAACCAGTAGAGCTAAAAATCATGAGTTTTTGACAAGGCTTAATGTATTATAGCAATGAACTGGCTGTACATGTAGCTATGGGGCTCGTTTTACAGGATCCCTTAGCATGAAAATGCACATTGCAAAAACTGCAAATACATAAAATTGCAAGTTTAACAGAGAGAGTGTTCAAAAGTGTGAACACATCAGTAAATAAAATCCACTTTTTCACAGTGTTGTCCAAATTTCATACAGTTCTTCACTGCAAAAGTTGTTTTTAAACATGCAACACATTTTATACAAATGCTGATTTTGTTTGCCCTAAAATTATACAAATGAATGAACAGAACAAAGTTTATGTCTTTTTTAATACCATAAAGTCATAAAAACACAACCAGTATTTAAATGAAGTATTTGACAATGCTCAATTAAGTTCCTTCAACTGCATTTGAAAAATACCAAATGTATCATGTACATGTTACTTTTACAAGAAAATTTAAAGACAGCAACATTATAAAAATTTTTATTAATAAGATGATCTCTAATTTTAAATTGTCAAAAAAACAAAAACCAAAAAAAAAAAAAAACATGTTTGAAGCTACTACACTGAAAGAAAGCAAAATATATGAAACATTAATTAGTGTCTAGGAAAATCAAGGAGTCCCAAAACTGTCATGAAAAAAAACAAGAGGCCCAGAGGCCACATCGCTCACCTGAGCACTCAGGCTAGGAAAAAGCAGAAATCAGTTCAGTCTTGAAAAGTTTTGATATAAAAGTGGTTTGAGGAAGGGGGGGGGGGGGGATGTTGATTTGAACTTGAATCTATACTTCAAAGGGATGCTTTTGAATTAATATGACAAATAATAGCTATGCTGTTCTTAAGAAAACAATTTTTATTGATATATCATTTGTATTCCTTTCTATAACTATGATCCCCTGTTATGGGCCCCCTAATCTCCGGGGGGGGGGGGGGGGGGGGGGTTCATGATTTGAACAAAATTTGAATCTACATTACCTGAGGATGCTTCCATTCAAATATGACTAATTATGGCTTTGCTGTTCTTGAGAAGAAGATTTTAAAAGGCTTTTTCCTATGTATTCTTACGTAAAACTTGGATCGCCCATTGAGGCCCCACCCTACCCCTGGGGGGAGGGGGAGGGGTCATGACTGGAACAAACTTGAATCTTCACTACCTGAGGATGCACCCATATAAAAATGACCAATCATGGCTTTGCTGTTCTTGAGAAGAAGATTTTTTACAAATTTTCCTATGTATTATATGCAAAACTTTGATCGCCCATTCTGGCCCCACCCTACCCCCGGGGGTCATGATTGGAACAAACTTGAACCTACACTACTTGAGGATGCTTCCATATAAATATGACCAATCATGGCTTTGCTGTTCCTGAGAAGAAGATTTTTAAAGGCTTTTTCCTATGTATTCCTAAGTAAAACTTTGATCGCCAATTGTGGCCCCACCCTTCCCCTGGGGGTCATGATTTGAACAAACTTGAATCTTCACTACCTGAGGATGATTCCATGTAAAAATGACCAATCATGGCTTTGTTGTTCTTGAGAAGAAGATTTTTAAAGAGTTTTCCTATATATTCCTATGTAAAACTTTGATCGCCCATTGTGGCCCCACCTTACCCCCGGGGGTCATGATTTGAACAAACTTGAATCTACACTATCTGAGGATGCTTTCTTATAAGTTTCATATTTTCAAGCACAATGGTTCTTGAGAAGAAGATTTTTAAATGATGCCATCAATTTTTCACAAATTCATGATTATCTCCCCTTGGAAGATGTTGTGGCCCTTCATTTGAAGAAACTTGAATTCCCTTTACCCAAGGATACTTTGTGGCAAGTTTGGTTGAAATTGGCCCAGTGGTTCTTGAAAAGAAGATGAAAATGTGAAAAGTCTACAACGACGACGACAACGACGACGATAGACAACAGACAAATTTCGATCAGAAAAGTTCACTTGAGCCTCCAGCTCAGGTGAGCTAAAAAACCGTTTGATCCTTTTCCTTTGGAATGCTGTCGACAGCTTGAAGCATCAACTCTGTACCTTGGCATGGTGCAACAGGCCCTATTGTTAAATGTGCTGACGTATGTAAAATATTCCTGTACAGTATTGCAAATAGTCCAGTTTCTGAGATACTTGACACTTTAAGGGAGGGTAATCTCCATTTGATAGGATATGCTTTGCATGATTGAACAATTTATGCTGAGATCTTTTATCTTTTGACCAATTTAGATGCACTGATGATATGAATTCAAAATCTGTAAAAGCAATGACAAATTGATGTTTGAATTAAAGTTTATAATTGATATTGCAATAATCATAATAATCAAAAAAGACATTTTAGTACAGTAAATTTTCATTTATACCCAAAAGCAAAAGAGCATGTATTTTGATGTTCTAAATTACATTGAGAATTAGGGAATAATTTCAATTTTACAACAAAGGGACCTTGGCAATGCTAGCCTGAATCACCTTTATTTCCTATTTTGTAAGAGATCCAAATGCCTTAAATGGCTACTTCAGTTTAATGCAAACCTGCAAATGATCCAAATATAAAACAAGCTAATTCAGAAAATTGTGGCCCCCACTTATGGAAAAAGATGAGGATGGAAGAACTGGACAAAAAAAAACATACAGATGGAAAAAGAAAAAGGTCAAGCTTAACCTTTCAGCTTTTGGCCTTAAAGTCAATTGGTGTCTTTTTTTATTAAAGAAATAAATTCAAGACCTCAAAGAGAACCAGAGTTATCATCAGGACATAATTTAACGCAAGATATGAATTTTTCA